AGTTGAAGTCCACTCATCTTGAAGTGGCCAAGTTTGGACAACAGTGATCTATCTGGTCACTAGGAGTTGGAAACGACTTGATGACACATAATCACTATACTGAGTGCAAATCCTGTACATTGTGACTGGGCTTCATCTGGAGGGCACCACTTTGGGAAATTCACACTATAGTGTTGCATGTAGCTTTTGCCACTCAGAATTTTTCTTCTAAATGTCATCCATCCATTGCAGCAGCATACAGGCTAGGTTTATACAAGGTGCTGGGATAAAATGTGCATGGTTAGTTTGTAGCTCAGAGTAATATATGAACCCAGGCAGCTGGGGTAATTTAATAAACTGTGGATTCGTTCGCCATGCATTCGCCTGTCATAACCCAACTATAATAAGAACCCTGAAGCAGGAGTGAAGTACATTGCTGGATTTTTATTATTTCCACATTTCTCTGATTTGCCTTACTGTGATATGCTTGGGACGGATAATACATTTTTGATGCATACATGGCTGAGAAAGATCTTGCCTCTCTTTCTACAGGAGGTTTAGGAACTTTCCACGGGATGATAAACAGTATGGTTCATGTGATCATGTACACGTACTATGGACTTTGTACGCTGGGGCCAGCATATCATAAGCACTTGTGGTGGAAAAAACATATGACAACTATACAGCTGGTAAGTAACTTTGAAAGAAGGTACAGAAAAAATAGGCTTCGATTTGAATGATTTATATTTACAAAAGATAAGCAGGCATGCTATAAAGTTGTGAGCTAGCTAAATTTATCACGTTTTCCACTATTGCTATCATACACCCTGACTTTTCTCAAAAAGAGGATTATATAGTGAGTGTAAGATTATCTGTGTTAACAGATGTTATTTGTGATTCTGGGCATCACAAAGGTTAAAAAGAAAATATAAAAGAAAATGATACAATAGTAAAGCAGTAAAATAAAACATACTATGCGGGGGGCAAAGCGTAGGACTCATACAGTTACAATAGGGTCATATACCATCCTGGGCTAGCACCAGAGTTAAAAACCAGGTCTTCAGGGCCAACTTAAAGGCCAGCAGGATCAGGACCAGCCAAATTTTAGGAGGGAGACACTGATCCATGTTACACTATCCTAGTTTTTTATTACTAAATCTGAGTCTTCATACTTTACACCTAGATACTTTAGGGAAGATGTAGTTTATCATTTACTGCTTCAGCAGATAGGAGCCCTTTGCCAATCTTGTCTGGACTCAGAAGCTAAGTAGGTCAAGCCTGATTAAGAATGGAGTAGTCTGTGAATATTATAAAATGGATGGGTGGATGGCATTTCCAGGGAATTCCATGGCAGTAGGATACATAAGGAAACTTTTAAAAATTCTGTAAATAGTGCAAACCACTTCCACACTTGGATCAGGATGTGTCCATGAAGTCACCAGAAGTTGATTCACTTCGAAAGACTTCACCTTCTTGGTGTTCCTGCATGCATATTTTTCTGAGAGTGCACCCAACATAAATTAAAGTGTATTTCCCTTTGTTAATATGTACATAAGCAATACATTCATTAACTTTCTCTGAAATTCATATGTGGAAGATCTTTTTGCATAGCCCTTTGGTTACTCATAAGGTGGAGCTCTTTTCATATGTTAATCATCATTGGTATAAATCCTTCCTGGTAAACTTGAATTTTATATCATGTTTAAAATATTTCTGCAAAGGGATATTATTTATTCCATTTAATTATTGTATCCTATCAAGTCTACTCTTTAAAAACACCTTGAATTCAGTTATCTTTCAAAGAAAACATTGATGGGAACAAATTTAGGGCTAAAAAATTGGTGTAATCCCTAGCATATGGAAATGCTAGTTTTAACAGGCAAATGGGGGGAAAGAACGACCGTTATTTATAAATGTTGGTTAAATATAAAAAAAAAATACTGCCATGGTAATTTATACCTTCCGCATAATGTCATCATTATTGTAAATAACACAAATTACAAAAAAAGATGAAATTTGGTCCAAAAAATATGCATTAAAGTATACTCCTGAGAACCTTTTCACCTTACTGTCAAGAAAAGGTTGCTTTACTTTTAACCGAACCATTTTTAAATGTAGTGTATTACAAACAAGCGTGGGGAACATTTCTCTTTCTGCTGAGGATTGCCTGGGGTTATCTGTTGGAAGCTGTGTTGTGGGCAGAGCTGAAGCAAGCATTAGGTGGGACCAAAATGACTGAGAGCAGGGCGATCTGTGATGGAGGTGGTGGTAGCGTGGGAGAGCCAGATAGTAGGCTGACTGAAGCCCTGCCCCTTTGATGCATGTACAAAGAAGCAGGGCTTCAATCACACAGTCACACCCACCACCTTGGCTGGCTGCCCCCTCCCCACAAATGCCCCAGGTGAGAATACCTGTTCTCTTGTTGACACTTCTCTTTCTCTTCCTGATACCCTCTTCTCTCCAAGTGTTGGGCTGCAAAGGGATGCAAACAACTTACCACAGCTCTAAACTGATTTTGCACATGTGTGTCCTGAAATGTAATAGTGGGCCTTATGTATTTGGAGTGCAGTCTCCTTCTTAACTCTGCCTTAATTCCTCTTCTCTGCTTGATTTAAAATCAGGAAGTAATATCTTTTTTTTTTTTCCAGGTGCAGTTCATTTTGATCACAATTCATATAGGACAAATCTACCTCATGGATAATTGCCCATATCAGTATCCTATCTTCATATTCATTATTTGGCTCTACGGCTTTGTGTTTTTAATCCTGTTTCTACATTTTTGGTATCATGCTTACACCAAGGGCCAGCGGCTCCCAAAATATATGAAAAATGGCGTTAGCATAAACAAAAATGAGTGAAGGGCTCAGCTACAAAGTGCAATGAGTTCTTCAGCTTCCAGTACTTGACAATCAAGAAGCTTCAGCACACAGCCCACTAGATGTTTTGTATATGGTTTTTTGGGACAGGAAAATATATTTTATTATAAATTATTTGGAATTTAATCTTGATGTGAGGAGAAGTAAAAACTACTGATTACAATCCTCAAATTTCAGCAAACATGTACATATTGGGAGAAATATATGTATCAGAAAAACAAATATTTAGTAGCTCTCTTAAATGCTCACGTATATTCATTATGGAAATGAAGTGTGTTTGATAAGTATACAACAATACTTTGAACACTGATGAGGATACCTGTGTTTTAACTGGGCCACAGGCTCTTTAGGCCGCTCTTAACTGAAATGGAACAGTTTCATGGATGATATAAAGGGTATAAACCACCTTGTTAATATATCTATCAACTTTGTTTTGTACAAACTTTATTAAAAACTATGATTCATAAATCTTCAAAAACTATTTGAATTTTTAAAGTGTCTTAAGGCTTTAATAATGGGATGGTTTGGAGGAGGCAGTGGCACAACGGCAGGGGGGCAAAAGAGTCAAGATGGCAGTTCTGACTGCATAGCCAAAGCCCTGTCCCTTTTTTGTGTGCATCACACACACACAAAAGGGGTAGGACTTTAACTGCACTGGTATGACCGTCTTCACTTTTTTGACCCCCAGCCCCTGACAAGTAGCAACATTAATGCTCATTCTTAAGCTTAGCCTGTCTGTACCCAACAGGTTTGTATGTGCATCTGGTGGAGCTGATTCCCCTCTCAAAAACCTGTGTCATAATAAATGTTATGGCCTTTAAGATGACCCAAGATTTTGCTGTATGTCTGTGAAAGCAGCCTGCACATATATGCTGAAGATAAAAATTATATAACTGGGTGACTGAGTCACTCATTTGGTGTGTCTCAGCCCAACCCACCTCCCAGTTGTAGAGATGATACACTAATACCTCGGATCACGAACGCTTCTGTTCACGAACAATTCGGTTTGCAAACAGCATTCGCAAATTTTTGCTTCCGGTTGCGAACTCCACATCGGGGGACAAACACAACCCGTGGCCATCTTCCCTGCTCTGACATGGTCGTGGCTTCCTCTAGGCGAGATCGCAGTCGCAGACAGACACTTCCTATGAAGCTTTTTAGCACATACAGTACATCCAGCATGGCTCCAAAGAAAGTGCAGAGCAAGCATGATAAGAATAAGGTTTTGAAGAAAATAACCATTGAATTGAAGAAGGAAATTGTAGAAAAACATGAGCGTGGTATTCGTGTGACTGATCTGGTCTCGGAGTACAAGATGGCGAAGTCGACAATCTCGACTATTTTGAATAAAGATGGTTAAAAAAAATACATATGGTTCAGAACAGATTAACCTTATTTACATTGAACCTTATGGGAAAATTGATTTGGTTGGCGACCACGTTCGTAGGGTCAGAACGGATTAACCTTATTTACATTGAACCTTATGGGTAAATTTGATTTGGTTCGCGACCAATTCAGTTTGCGACCAGAATCGTGGAACTAATTAAGTTCGTAAACCAAGGTACCACTGTATTACAGAACTTCCCAGCAACTACTTGGTCTTGGCTATCTCAAGAAAAGTAAAGCTGGTTCTGGTTAACCCTGGTTGTTGCACCACTAGGAAATCCCAGGGAGGTAAACTAGACTGAGAAATTGAAAATAAAAATTTCTCAAAGAAGGTATGGCAACTTATTTCTGTATTGTTGCTAAGAAAACTACATGGATGTGGAGGCAAGCTTGAAGTGAGGGTGCCTTTTTTGTTTTGACCTCTCAGAAAAAAGGTAGGCTGTAAATGCAGTAGGTAATGTGGCTATGCCCTGAACTCTAAATAACCTGCTAAGCTAAAGATCAGGGAGGATTAGTGGTGGTTTGGTGCCAAGGATACACAGTCTGTATATGTGAGAAGCCATATAATAGAAAGGGCCTGCTTTTATGTATGATGACTGGCACACTGGAGTTTATTTGGAAAGCCAGATCAGGTTCCTTTATGGCTGGATTTGTAAAATGATGCACTTACGCTTGCTAAAATACTATCATGTTTTAAAGTAAACATGATTACCTTCAGGAATCAGATCAAGCTTATTAGAGGGAGTATATGCTAGACTGGAAGGCTCACAGCAAAGCCCAGCCTCCATCCCTGGAAAAGGCTACTGGCAGTTAGTAAATCCTAAGTCAGGGTGACAGAGAACTGCCCTTTAGCGGATCTAAAATTCAGTTTTACATGTACACCAACTCTGCCTGGTTCCAGTCTCTCCCGCTGTGTTTGACCCGGGGGCCCTGGACCCCACTCAGATGTCTTGGTTACAAATCCCAGAATATGTAACCAGGGTTTGAGATACTATCTGGGACCTCTGCCCCTGGTAATCACTTGGTCTAGAGGGCTAGCTCAGGGATTTAGGGAAAGCTGATGGCGACATACAAATAAAGCAGAGAAATGAAAGGTTCGCATGAATTAACCCATGATTTTGTAAAACCTGGTTGAGCAAGTCATTATTACCTCGGTTCTCACCAAGGCAAAATGAGGCTTAGGACGCCGTGGCCGCGTCACATGGCTTCCTCCATTCTTACCTTGGCGAGGCTGCACCATCAATATAATGGGAGGGGTGGAATTCTTCCAGACTCGGCGATCACGCAGTAGTGATCTGAGCAGGAACCCACTGAATCCCTCGCAGCAGCGTCACCTGCGGCAAAATAAGCGCGCAAAAGCATTATCCCTGAATACCGCAGGGGATCCGACTCTAGCCCATTCATTTCATCTCGCTTACACCCCAGCGATTGGTGACGAAGGAAAGGAGAAGAGCCCCTCATTGGACATTGTTGGTAAAATACACCCCTGACGTTTCTAGCAGGGAACCAATCCCCTGCTTTTGACGCCAAAGAGGGAACGCATGATTCTTTTTTTTTTTTAATGAGCAGAATACGAGAGGTTTCCTGAAGGACTGCCGCCAATCGGCTAATTCCGAAGTATCATGTGATCTAGCTTTGGCCCAATCAGAATTAGGTAGTCCCTGATTCAAACTTTACTTCGAAGGTTCGATGCTGTGTCCATCGGTCGCCGTGGAGACGGGCCGCGGAGTTTTGTAGTCTCGTGGCGGCCGATGGAACCTCGACTCGTGGGCCCGGGGCCCTACCGAGCAACTCGGCTGGTGAGTAAAGCACGGGCTGCGCTTGTTTTCCGGAGGCTTGCTAGCAGTCCCTGCCTTTTCGTCCCGGAGGATAAGCAAGGAATGCACTCTACACGTGATCAGGAACCCTTCCCCTTTAATAGACTCTTGATACCGCATTCCTAGGTCTTAAGTAAAATCCTGCTTGGGAACCGCAGCGTAGACGCTGTAAGTTTAATGTAGATAAAATAGTTGGTAATTGAGTACAGTTCAGGTGGCCTGGCTAACAATGCTGTGCAGTGTTAATGATCTTCAATTGGCAAAAAGCGTATTCGTATGTATGGTGAATTTCAATCCCTGTAATTTGCAGCCAGCTTGGGAATTAGCCCAGCACTTCTGCGCAGGTGCTGCACTGAAGAGGGCTGATATTTTGTATATGCTGAGCTGTCTTAGGAAAGATTGCACTTCTCCACGGTCCCTGGCAGAAATGCGTCTTTCATGTAAGCTACTAACGTTTCTGCTAGGGATGCTGGGATCTCCTGCATTCAAAGGTGATTCTGTGCCACTGAACTATGGTCTTTCCCTAAGTACCTGTTATGTGCCTGATTCAGCTATGCTCACCTTCAAGTGTACTAATGCATATATAGGGTTAGTTAGTAGCACCTAGCTTGAAAAAGCTAAGTCTGGTTGATCTGCTTAGTTTGGGATGGGAGACCACCAGAAAATCATAGGATGGCAGCCTAGATAGGGAAGGAGAATCAAAGCAAAAAAACTTGCTGAAATAAGGCACCTGCATACTGTTGCAAGAAAACTAAAAGTTCATACCGGTGCTTTTGGGTTTTGACATGTATTTTAATACATATTTGTTTGGACATTCTTTTAATGCATGTATGTTTAGGTTCTTTCTGAATTGTAACCAGAGCCTGCATGACTGCTGCTGTATCTGCAAAACAAAATCTGCCACAACCTGGGCCACATCTCACCTTGGTCAGGGTAACATTCAAGAGGTTAGGAAAAGATCCAGAGTCCCAGGATTTGGAGAGTAAGCACTAGCTAGCTGTGATAAGAATATCATTTCACGCACACACAAAACACACACCTTAAACTAAGCCCTTGGCTTCTCTAACATGGTAACTCTTACATCAGCTGACGTGAATCCATAGAGTTTCAGGCAGAAATCTTTCTGGGCACTACCTGAATATTTCAGAGGTTCAGTCTGAATTCTTCTGCAGGCAAAACAGAGGTCATATAAGAGCTGTTCATCTTCGTTTTACGCCTCACCACCATCAAAACTGAGCTGTATTTTCTTCTCTGTGTGCATAGCATCCATAGCTTCATAAACAGATCACTGGTTTACTGTGCAGCAGAATATGGTGTTAAAGCCTCGAATGGGGTGTATCATTTTACACTGCAGATATGAGAATATATTTCCAATTATATGACTTTAATAAAAGAATTTCTTGCTATTAGAAATATATACCACAGATTAAGACTAAGGTACAGCCTTTCTTATTGATATGTTGGGACTTTTTTTTAATTAACGTGGGAATATTTTGCATCCAGCAAGTGGTGATTTCTTCAGTATTCCATGTTTAAACAAACAATGGCCTTGTGTAATGCTAAATCTAGCCAGGGTACTGAGTCACTAAGTGTTTTCCGGGGTGGTAGTGGTCCTTTGGTATGTTATGCAATTCCAGCCACTGTGTTTTATTTAATAAACCATGATTAAAACATTGTAGTTTAATGCAGTGTGTGAATCCAGCTTGTATGTCCATACAGAACTTTGAACAGTTTGAGAAAAAAGTTCCTAGTTTTCTATAATGAGGCTTTATCATCAACATTACTCCTGATATGAATTTTAACCCCTGCCCCAAGTATAAATAAATACACAGACTCACACATACACACTTGATAGAGGTAGGTGAAATAGGGCCATCTGAGCTGCAAACTTCTTGACAGCCACTAGATAGCAGGAAAGAGTGGCAGGTATGGTAGGTCTAGAAAAAAATAATGCAACTTCATCATAGTTGCCACAAATGTTATTTATATGATGAGTTCCATATAAAGTGTAAGGAACAACTTCATCCATCCATTCATTCAATTTATACGACTGCCCATTTCAACAAGTGACTCTGGGCAGCAAACAGAATTAAAATAAAATAAAGACAGTTACAAACATTACAAAATTTTACAAAATACAGATATGATTATTTGGACTTTCTAGATGTTTTGGGCTTCTGCTCTTTTCAGTCCTAACTGCTATGGACAGTGGGTAGGGATTATGAAAACTGCAGTAAAAAACCAATATGTTGCCTCCTCTGAGCTAAAGGGAGTGTTATTTTCCTTCCTCTGCAAAAATGAAATCTGCTTTAAGTCTTGCATGTCCTACAAGAACAAGGACACAGGTCTGTGCAGGTGGTGAAGGGGATCGGTTTTTCTCCATATTTTTTATCTCTTGTCAGCATAATGAAAGGGGATGTATGTTTTTAAGGTAAATCAAGAAAACAATATAAATTAATGGTCAGTATTAAAACAAGCATGACTGAGAATTTCAATACAAAATCACCATGCCACAGTTTTCTCCCTCTTATTATGGACACCTATCAATTCTTATAGTGCTTGTGGTTAATAATCTCCCCCCATACACAATGCCCTCTTTTTCTATTCTGTTAAATATTTTTATTTAAGCAGTTATATGGAGCCTTTCCAAAATGTTCAAGATATATAACTGTGATGGAATGGAATTATGAAGGCCAAGCTCAGGGAGATAAGTATTTTCTTAGCTCGCCAGAACCGCGTCGGAGGAACAAGAGGAT